GCTGCGGCACGTTTCCTTCATGCTTCCCAAGCCAGCGCGCTGAGCAACCAGACGAGCTGTCTCTAGCAGAGGTGTACACACAAGTGTTGCTGCTTCAGCCATCGTCCAAGTGATCGAAAGTGGCTCTTTCTGCTGTTGGTTTAGAATGGCAGATTAGTGGTGAAATATACATTTAAGCTATACCCTTTGAAACACTGGCCCACTTCAGGTTGGCTTTGTGTTCATTAGAGACAAGAAAGAGGATGCTTAAGGGTTTGACCACATCCAGACTTGATACTCGGATCAAAATGAAGTTCCACATCACTGGTGTGAAACTGGAAGGACTGCATGAATCTTGAAATGCAAGAAGATTTTCATGAAACAGCAGACATAATCCGATCCACTGCGCTTGTGTGAAGAGTAACATTATTAACTGCTGCTGCATGTGCGATGTGGCAGCCTGAAAGGGCCTTTTCCCCTTTACTTGTAGCAAGTTTTTTAAACTCCATGCGTTTTGCACAGCTCAGATGTGCGTGCAGAGCATCGAGCCCAATTTCATGCTGTTTTACTAGGCAGATTGAAAGGAGCGGGCTGGCTTCTTTACACGTTCCTGCAGTTACACTTGAGTGAGCTCTACCTGGGGCAGCCTGCAAAGAGCCTGAAGAAGGACAGAGGGAACAGCTGTGTGCCACGGTACACTATCTGCTAACCAGGTTTTGTCAGCGACAGTGACAAACAGTCGCTCTTCTGAGATCACCTGAGGTGGCTGGCGTATGTGGTAGAGAGAGTTTTTGTTTTTAAGAGCTCAACCAAAAGATCGACTCTCAGCCCTGGCACCGGGGGCGGCTGAGTTGAGGCTGCAGCAGAGTGGATCCCTGGTTCAGCACCACTGATGCTTGCAGCCTGCTCCTGCTTTCCTCCCACTGCACTAAGGCCAAGCACTCTAGAAAGCCATGCGACTGCCTGCCTCTCTCCCAAAAGATTCCTCTGTAGAACAGCGAAACTCAAGAGTTAAAATTGGAATCATTTAAGTGTTCACTGGCAAGAGGAGCACCCGTCCCCCTTTGCACATTAGCACCCTGCCACCAGGAAGGTGAGTGCTTTGGAGGTGGCAACGCAGGAGAAATAGCCATGGGCAGCAATGTGTGAGGAATGTGTTTAGTATAGTCTTCCTTTAAAGTGCCATTAATATCACTCCTTGTGCTGCTTGTGGGCTGTTGTCCCAAAGAGAAAGAAAACCTCCCCAGGGACTGTAACTTCCTACCTGCACATGCCTGACCTCACACCACTACACCACTACGGGGCAAGGTGCAGTTGTTTCAGGTCCAGTAGTCCTTTGTTGTTGATCACTGAAAACAGCTTACCCTGTAGGTCAGGGGATCATCATGAACATAAGAGATGCAACACTGGAGGTCAGGAGCGATGGCACAGATCATCACTAGTATAAGAGGTGTCCAGCCAAGGCAGGTTTAAAGCTTCCCTGATGCATTTAGAGATTGTTTCAAGTGGCTTGCTCTGCCGCGCTGTGGAGAGGTGGGAAATACGAAGGTGCAGAAGCATTCAGTCGTCTGTCTCTCGTCTGCCACTCCGACGTGTTTTTCACTCTCCACTTTCCCTCCCACCCCACACAGAAGAGATATTTTAAACAAGAATACCAAAGCGCCTGCAGGCATTAGCCCAGCAGCTTGATGTACTAACTACAGAGCAAAGTACATAAGCTGCAAATGTTTCATGTGTTATTAATTCGTGACATACAGAGAGAAAGATGGAGATCACAGCCCTGTACACTGACCAGCAATTTTCTCTCCTCCTCCAGCAGCCCCTTCAACGACCGGCCGATGTGCAGGATCTGCCACGAGGGCAGCAGTCAGGAAGACCTGCTTTCCCCCTGCGAATGTACGGGGACCCTGGGGACCATTCACCGCAGCTGCCTGGAGCACTGGCTGTCGTCTTCAAACACCAGCTATTGCGAGCTCTGCCACTTCAGGTTTGCAGTGGAGCGCAAACCCAGGCCGTTGGTGGAGGTCAGTACATGGGGCATGTCCCCGAAAGCTTTGCTTTAATGAGCGAATCGTGGTAGTTTTTATGCAGGCATTGCAAAGCCTTTGCAGCTCCGCCGCAGCCGAAACAAGGCCGTGAGCTTTGGGATTGGCAGGACGTGGGCAGGAGCTCAGGGAAAGGGCAGGAATAACAAAACCGTTATTTTGAACCAAGTTGTATACAACAAGTGAGAAGAATGGGATCGATGGGTTTGCTTCACTGTAAATGTGAGTGGAGATTTGGGGAACAGTGTGCAGCGAATTCCTGGTATGCCATCCAGCTTGGTAGAGGGTGGAAGAGAGGTAAGTAACAGTTTCTGTGCAATGCGAGACAAGCGTCAGTATTCAGCATGTTAAATATATAGGTCAGGAGTAATTTTTTTTCTCTCTCTCTCTCTTTTGAGAGAGAGGTAACAAACCGAGGAGCCTTAGAAACCGAGTTTCCATGTCAAGCCCACAAGAAGGAATTGTTCTTGCTCAGTGTCTGGCATGTTTAGCCGTTCATGAGTGACCTTTTGGCCTCCTCTTGCCTATGTACCAGACTCAACAGTGAATTGGACAATTGTTTTTCCCTTATCAATTAAAACTCAGTTTTCACCAACTATAGATGCTTTAGTGGCTGTGTGAACTTTACCAGTTGGGTTTTTTTATGTCCTCAGGAAAAAGAAAAAGAAAAAAAGCTGAGATCACTGTCTTTACACTGTTAAGGATATTTCTCCTCCCGTATTTTAATTTGGAAAAAAAAAGTAAAAATTATTATTTGTATTGGAAGTAAAAGTGAATTACAAATAATAACATTTTACAGATGTAATGAGAAGCATCTTATTGTACCACTTGGTGACACAGGTGCTTACATGCTACGGTTGTGTTCAGGACAACACATCCTTCCTGTGTATCCTCATTGTTCCTGTAAACTGTAGCAGAACTGGTTGAAGGAGATACAGTATTAAAAATCAGGGGCAGGGGTGCATCTTATTTTGCTCTTATTCACAGGTGAGTGGATACAGGATAAAACTGGCTGCTGGGAAGTGGGTTAGGGACCTGTGCAGAGAGAGAGTGAGCCGTTCTAATTGAGGGCTACCAAAATTTCTTTACACTGGAGTAAGTTAGGCATGCACATTTTGTGCCTAAGCCTAGGGATGTTTTCGTTCTTCCTTAGGATCTGCAAAAAAGAGATACGTGACGTGGTATGTAGCACAAGACTTGTAGTTTTGTCAAGCCTAGGCCAGCTGTGTTCAGTTGCCTCTGGCTTGTTGTTTGGTGCTTCTTGCAGGACCATTCTATGATTCTGTGACTCCAGCCTCTCCCAGGAAGCTGGTCCCAGTTTGAGAAATGCTGTTGTTGAGCGTTCTCAGGCTGTCAGCGGCTGTGCAGCAAAATCTTTGTGACTGAGCGTTCTCCAGTGAAGACGCTAACACCTTACTTCAGCCAGCTGCTCTGAGCCTGCACCAAGCAGTTTTCAGTAGCAGTTCTGATGTGAGGACAATGCCACTCTGAATTTGCCTTCTGAAAAGAAAGATAAGCGATGCTGAGGCGGTGCAAAGTAAACAGTTTGATTTTAGAGTCCGGCTTCTTCAAGCTGTTCCCTTGCAGCAGCTGCTCGTGAGGCTTGCTATGCACAAATGAGACGTGACATTGTTCAGAGCTAATGATGATTGAAGAAGTTGAAAGCAAAGCTAACCCTGCCCAGGCTGGGGGACTCTGGTCGCTTGATCATTCCTTGATGAAGTAAGGCTTCGTTTTGGCAAAAGCAGTAATAAATAATAGCAACAACAACAATCATAATAATAAGAGTAATAATGATAAAGCTACCTTTTGTTTCTCAGCTAAGGACAAATGAGAACCAGGTGCAGGAACATTTCTGAAACATAGTAAGCATTGTTAATTGATGTTTTTCTCTGTACTACCTAATATTTCCTTACTTTTCAGCTACCATACCCACAATATTTTAGTGCAGTAATCAATAATAATGTGCAGTTGCAGAACAGGTTATAAAAGAACCCAACTGAATTTTTGAAGTCCTTTTTGTTCTTATACAAGCAGCATGTTTCCAGTTTAGAAGGGAATTGAAGCTCTACTTTTAAAGTTGAGAGCAGCAGAGACAAATAGTAACTGAGTTGTATGCAAGAGAACAAAGCCGAAAGATATCCATCAAACTTCTTGATTTCTGTTAGTGTAGCTTAAGTTTGTCTTTAAAGTTCGTACTTAATTAATACACAGTGCTTTGAAATCTAAAGTCCTCCCCATGCCAATAATTACAGCAAATCTGAAAGTACCTGAAGCATGACTAAAGCAGATGCAAGTTGCTGAGTTCCCCCATCTTCTGTGTCCTAAAAGCACAGCCCTGTCTGTCTCCCTGTATTACCTCAAGTATGAGGGCATGGAGGGATGTGTATCAGGCATAGTAGGACCATCTTTCATAAAAACCTGCTGTAATGTTTGGACAAGCCAGACTGACCACCTGCTTTCAGTGTGCGTGCGTGTGTGTGCGTGCGTGCGTGTGTGCGTGTGTGTGTGTGTGTGTGTCAGTGGAGGTGAATTACGAGTTTACTAATGCATTTAGGAGGTCAGGAGGGACTATGGTACTCACAAAGGCATTTGTAGACCATAGTCTATAGAAGCTTATCGTAACTCCTCAGCAGGCCCTATCTCTTGCAGAGAATATATCCCATCCATTGGTCAGTAACAGGTAGTAAAAAAATGCTTGAAGCAATCAATCATCATATTCATCTTTTCTCCTAGAGATTTTCCGTCAGGAAAATAAATGGTACTTCTTACTATTCAAAGACATAGTATTCACTTTCTTAAAGAATCATAGAATTATAGAATCATAGAATCGTTAGGGCTGGAAGGGACCTTCAAAGGCCATCTAGTCCAACCCCGCTGCAAGGAATAGGGATATCTCCAACTAGATCAGGTTGCTCAGGGCCTCATCCAACCGGGCCTTGAACGTCTCCAGGGATGGAGCATCCACCACCTCTCTGGGCAACCTGTTCCAGTGTTCTACAACTCTCATGGTAAAAATTTTTTTCCTAATATCCAACCTGAATCTACCTCCCTCTATTTTAAAACCATTACCCCTTGTCCTATCACAACAGGCCCTCCTGAACAGCCTCTCCCCATCTTTCTTGTAGGCCCCCTTGAGGTACTGGAAGACCGCTATAAGGTCACCCCGGAGCCTCCTCTTCTCCAGGCTGAACAGCCCCAACTCTTTCAGCCTGTCCTCATAGGAAAGGTGCTCCAGCCCTCTTATCATCTTCGTGGCCCTCCTCTGGACCCTCTCCAGCTGGTCCATGTCCTTCTTATGTTGGGGACTCCAGAACTGGACGCAATACTCCAAGTGAGGTCTCACGAGGGCAGAGTAGAGGGGGAGAATCACCTCCCTCGACCTGCTGGCCACGCTCCTCTTGATGCAGCCCAGGACGCGGTTGGCCTTCTGGGCCTCAAGAGCAAGAAGCCAAAAAAAAGAAGAGGACACAGTATTATTTTTTCTTCTCATCCCTTTACTGGATTGATCACGGGTTCTTAGCGGCGACTTAGCCGTGGGTGTGAAGGAAACAAATTGAGATACTTCACTTGCTTTATCTAGAAATGTCATATCTGACTTCATTCAAAAAGAGCACCCAGGAGAGGCTGCAGCAGTAGTGAGCTTGAAATAAAGTGTGCAGTAAGTGGCCCAGCTGGTTGTCCAGCAATATTCCTTCCTCCCCTGTGTACATTATTATGAAAGCAGCAGAGTATTTTTTGCTGTGCTTCGTGATTCGATCGGAACAGGCTAGTGAGCCCATAGCATTTCTCCCCCCGCCTTCCCCTGCCATCTTGCTAGTTTGCCTTTAGCTCATTATGAAATGAAAGCAAGCGCTCCAAAAAAATTGGGTGCAAGGTTCCTTTTTGCCTTCTTTTTTGAAATTGTCTATGTTCACACTGAGGGTGTGGGCCCATGCGCTCAAACAGGAGATCTTTAGCTCAGATACGAGGGACACATCTACATCTGTATCGTGCCTCACACGCACATCATGAATAGGATGCAAAAATGCAGGGAGCTCACCTTTACTTTCTCTCCCCAACTTATATTATGCACAGCAGCCTGCTTTTTCCTGGATTTCTTTTGAAAGGAAAAGCAAAGGAAGAATAGCACTCGTTTTGACCTCCATTTCCTCTTTTATCCTTCGTATCTTTTCTTCATCATAAGCTTCTGTCTGGTCAACTGAGTTTCAAACTATGTACTTCTCAAGGGAGACATTCATTTATCTATGCCACAGGACATGGTTTTGTTGTTGGAACATCTCCCAAAAAATGTGCAATCTGCTAACTGTTTGACGCCCAAAACCCAACCAGAGAGGCAGGAAATGATAGTACAGTCTCTCAGGCAGATCCATCCTCTCAACACGGCATCTGTGAAGCTTCAGACATTCTTGATCCACTTCTTTTTTTAACTCAGATTATTTTCCCCTGGACAGCTGTGTTTCTGAACTATGAGTTGGGCACTGTGGTGGGGATTAACCCTGCTTTCAGTAGTCAAAGTGATTTGTTCATCATCATCCACCATTTATGTCTTTAACCTCCTGCTACATTGGGTGGAGGAGCTCTGTGATTTGTCCTTCATGAAGTCAAAGAAGCACACACTGGAGAATGCACACAGTTCACCTCCGCCACAGCTTTTTGCCAAAGGTTGGTCAGCCAAAAGGAGTGGTCCCATTTGCAGTTCCTTGTCTGCATTCTGTTGACCTACATGTGTCACATGTGCCCTGTGGGCTTTTACAGTTGTGGGTAAGAATTGCTTTCTGTTGAGCCTTCAGATTTTGTTAAATGGGTGGCTAATGCGCTGCAGGTAAGTGCTGAGCTCCTTCGTGCCCTGCCTGACTTTCAGGGCTTACACTGCCTTGCTTGTGGACTGAGCTGACTGGGAACTGTCGCACTTCCTCTGGATGCGCCCTGCTTCTGGTGGGACTTCTGCTCAGAGGCTGGGCTGATGCTCCTCAGCT